ATAATTATAAAAATATGTTGTCTGATAGGGAATTGAACTACATTTTGTATTTCCTGTTGTTTGATCATCAGCAACAAAATAAATTCGTTGAATACCAATTAATAAATTCGCCTTTAATTTCATTTGATGGTGTTACATTTATACATCGACATTGATATTCAATTTTTTCATTACAATATAAAATGGTTTGAATAGCCATTGATCGATGACCCGAAGAAGTATTAGAACCAATTGATGAATCGAATAGATACCTAAAGAATTCAAACAAATTGTATTTTTACAAATTATAATAAAATCAATTAATCTTACCATAATGGTAGTTTTATTAATTTTTCTTCTTTAATATGTGATTGAAAATATTTTTTATCCATTAGACAATAGGCACGTTGTAATCGTCGACGTTCACGATTTGATGATTCTGTTGGATCTAATTCCCAAAATTGTGGATACAATTGTGGTACCATATACTTAATTCCTGTGTCAATTGACTACATGGATTATGCCATAAATGTTTTATACGTAATTCAAGTGATTGTGTTAATCGAATATGTTCAATAAATTTTTTTCGTTCATGACTTTGTAGATTAATGACATCTTGTGTAATTTCCATTGTTTTTAATGTGAATAAACGAGTTTTGTCTAGTTGAAGTTTATTGAAACGTTGATTATTAAAATTAAAACGTTTATGAATTATATTTAAATTATTGTCAAAGTCGCGTAAATAGATTAAATGTTTGTCATTTAATATTGATGAAATTGTCACAACTGATGTTGATGGAGAACTGACAGTAGCGGATGATACACACTGTGTATCCCCCTTGGGTAGAAATCATCATGATGATCGACGTTTTGAATGGACGAAGGAACAAGGTTCTACAAAGTAGCGTTAAGAAATAACAGAGTAGACTGAAATGGTGTTTTCAACTTTTCTCCATCTTCCGTTCGTTTCCGCCATTCATATATGACGCATATATTGCTGTAAGTAGAAAAAAATAAACGGAACGAAAGATTTCATATCGCAGAGAAAAGCCAATAAAGAAAAAGACATGTGTTAATAACACACTTTTTTAGCATAATGCTAAAAGGAAGGTGCTGTTTTTGAAAGAAACAATAGAAATGCTGTTAGTAACATGCGCAGAAAGGATTTCTCACATTTCTTTTTTCGTCAATGTATAGCAGAAATGTTACAATGTAAGTGTCACCAAACTTTTCATCTCTTTTTTTTTAGACTCTATATGATTGATTGGTTTTAACAATCGTTTATGTATTATAGCAGATAGAATATTTCTGCAATTTTGTTCATTATAAATATCGTTATGGTTGTGCTATACTCACTTTTTAATAAATAAGAATGCATAATTTTTGTTTTAGACAGCGAAGAGTTCAGTGAAAAACGGGTTTTTAATCTATCATTCGATGTGAGAGATACTTTGCTCGTACATTTACACAGGAAGTTGAACAAGAATATAAATAGCCGTTTCTAAATCACGTGGGATTATATAACAAAAATATATCCTGATCGGGCTATGATATATATTCTCTTCGGGATAGCTCGATCAGGATATAGTTTTATATCGCGAAGGGTATATGGTATATTGAAGGCATATCAAGACACGGTGCTATTTGTTTTTGGACGTGCGAGTGTGAGTTCATCTTTGAGAAAAACTAGGTTTATCCAAAGCAAGACTACAGAGCATTTTCACTTGTAAAAATCCTACGTTGAAATTATCATAGCCAAGAAGTTAAGCAACGATATTGACTACACATAGTGCGAAGTACATTCTTCATTTCTCATGTTTTTCCTGTATTTGTGTCTATGTTATTATCTTTCCTTACGTTCTGTGAACTAGAAGCGACAGAATGATACACATTGACGTCTGATTCTGTTTTTAAAAAAATGAAAAACAAGACGCTGACTGTCGAGGCCTCGTTTAACTATAGAAAAAGAGACATTATGCGTATAACTTTTACATTTCACACAGCGATATTAAATACTTTACACACAGTTTATTTAAAAAGAAAATGGCACCGAATCGTCAACATCATACCTGAAAGTGTCTACTGAATATAAGCAGGATTCAACAAAACGTGCTCAAAGTAAATATAGTCGGCGAGAAACATTGATTAAAAAGGTAAAGTAACTGTGCGCAGTGCTGTAAACAAGCGTCAGCTCATTTATAATTTTTGTTTTCAAACAAATTCGTAGACGCACGTGAGGCAATCAGAACGCGGTCAAAAAGTTTTGCGGCATTTTTCTCGTAACTTTGAAAGCTTAGAAGTTTTCACAAAACTTCTTCTTTTAAAGTTTTCTTTTAAAATCCATTGAATTATATGCCATTCGACACAAAATTTCATTCTGCATCTGAATATGTATAAACGAAGATTCCAAAGTGCATAGGAAAGGAGAAAAAGGCCAAAAACTTCGGATTTTCCGAGGTTTTTCGGAAAACATTTTTCGAAAGTTATCTTGATTTTTGGTTGATGGACTATGGCAGCATACTTAGTGTTTCGAAGGGGAAACTTATTAAGAAGACTGTTCGTAATAGAAACAGTCACCGATACGTTTTCAGATTGTATACCATATTTGTTGCAAAATGTGGGACAAAATTGGCACTCATATTATGAGGTTGCTTACTACAATTGTTAGGTTTAATTAATACCGGGTGTCCCAAAAGTCCAAATGTAAAACAAACTTTAATAACTCCGTCATTTCTTAACTAAACTTCAAGCTTATTTCTTTTCTTCGTGGAGGAAATTTTCAAGTTTTATTTGATGTATTTGGACATTTTGTTAATACTTGAAACAATTGTTTGGATTTATTATAGTAGGACTCAGGCTTTTTAGAACCTTTTCTTAATAAATTATTTACTGAAAACCTTTTTTGAATAAGACTTAAATGATTTTTAACATTAAAATAAGGTGATGATGTTCGCTTTCAGATAACAAAATAATCAGTTGCTTTTGTTATTCTGTTAAGCTTATTAAATGTGATACTAATAATGAATTTGGTTTTTGTATTAACAGAAAATAGCATTGATTTTTAAAATCATCAATGCTATGTCAATTATTTTGTTATCTGAAAGAGATAAATAATTTATTAAGAAAAGGTTCTAAAATTCTTCTATCGGTCACTGTTTCTATTATGAACAGTCTTCTTAATAAGTTTCCTCTTCGAAACACAAAGTATGCTGCCACAATCCATCAACCAAAAATCAAGATAAATTTCGAAAAATGTTTTCCGAAAAACCTCGAAAAATCCGAAGTTTTTGGCCTTTTTCTCCTTTCCTATGCACTTTGGAATCTTTGTTTACACATATTCAGATGCAGAATGAAATTTTGTGTCGAATAGCATATAATTTAATGGATTTTAAAAAACTTTTCACGTTTTTTCGAGGTGCGCTGACCGTTTTTGACAAGAACTCCCGAGTGTTTTCCATCATTTCCCCAAAAATTCGACGATGGTTCATAGTAGTATTCTGAGTCTACTTCACGAAACCGTAGAGAGCCCTTCAAACGGATCATCTTCGGTTGCAAAAACCTCTTTGCAAAACGGCCGATGACGTTTTGTCTATGTCCAAAGAATGAACTATTTCTGAAGAACGCTTAACTCAAACAAGTGCAAATTTTTATCATGGACAGTACTCATACCAGGACAGCTCTGGTAAAAATTTAAGCTCATTAGCATTTAATTTGATGGAATTATAGCGTAAGCAAAATTTTCGACTGGAAAATCGCTTTTTTTCCCATATTTTACGACCTTTTTTGCAAGCACTCTAGCGTCGAGGGAAAGCATTTTGGAAAAAAATGTTCAGGACACATTGCTCTATCTACTCTGAAAATTTGAGGAAAATTTGTGAAAGTTCATTGTGCACGCTATGCTGGTAAAGTACGTTTCTATCGTGCACTGCCTCATAGGATCATAGATATATTTGGGTGTATTTGTAACCTTCATATAATTTAACACGCGAAATCCCCCCATCACCTTCCAGAGGAAGGTGTGATGGTGCTAATTTTGTAGATGTTATAGTGGGGATTGGACCTTTTAGGATCTGTTGTGTTTCCTGTACTATCCAATGAAGTTGTTCAACTTGAACTTCTTGTATGGTGACTCACTCTCATACTGCCGCCCTCTTCCATCCGGCTAGGCCAACTTTTTCTTGAAGAAAGTCTAAAAGGTCTAAATCGTCGATCACCCCTCATAACATCTACAACATCCAAAATTAGCACCATCACACCTTGATGCTTTTACAACATATGTCGAAACAAAAACAAATCACGCACAAAGAATCATATTTAGGTAAAGAAAAATGTTACTTATCTGAAGCTGATTAGGACCAATAGTTCGAAACTAACGTTACACAATGTGCATCCAGGCGGACATTAGGTGAAAAAATGAAAATCGAGTTTTCGACGATTCAAATAATGATTAATATACTTCAAGTGATGTTCTATTTGATGGCACAACAAATTTTATTACAAAATTTATATATCGTGGGAAAACAGCTAATCGAAAACCAGCCTGAAATATTAGTATTGGTGAGAAAAATGAAACTTTCACAGCAGTCAGTGAAGTTGTAATCAAAAACGACATATATTCTAAATCTGCACGGTCTCAGCTATAGATAAGTAAAAAAATTTAAATTGGACTTATGATAGTATGATAGCTAAGAAAATTAGAAAAACTTTTTCTCAAGCGCTTTTCCGAAGGGCTAAAGTGAGCGCGCGAAAGTTAGCGAAGGTCCAAATTTAACCAAACTTTCACAGAATGTTCTCCTATATGCCCTGCATCTATGGTGAATGCGCAAATGTTTCTGAAGTATACAGCGGGTCCTCCAAAACATCTGAGTTTTTTAGGTATTTTCCATTTTTCCCATTTCTAAAACGTTTTTGTTCAACAAAAGTTACATATTCGGAATCAGCGCAAGAAACTGCATCGAATGATGTGCGATCAGTAGGCTTTTTTGAGAAAAACTTGTTGGATATGACGGAACGCTAGAGTCGAAGCATAGCGTGACAATTTTGGCTAAGGATTTTGATATTTGCTATAGAAGCAGTCCGAAAGTCTAAAAACACCTTTTTATCGGTTTTCAGATATTCTCTTTCCAATGGCGGGCTTTACGAAGTTCCAAAGTACTTATGTGTGGGTTTTCTAGAGAGCCGGTCTCTGGAGAACTCAGATGAAAGTCTCTTGGAACTCTGTAAAGCACGCCATTGGAAAGAGCATATCTGAAAACCTATAAAAAGGTGTTTTTAGACTTTCGGACTGCTTCTATAGCAAATGTCCGCCTGACCTATGGAAAAATGCACACTGTGCGTTATGCTCCATGAATGGCCATATATTTCGGTTCTTTAACAGAGAAATTTTTTGTCTTTTAATCTATCTTGGGATGCTCATGTAAATTTTGTTCTTGGTAAGGTAAACGGTATCCGTAGCTATATGAGACTTTTAAAATGGAATCTTACT